TATTTATATATTTTTCTATAATATATATTTATCTGCTAAGGCACATATTGCGCTGATTTCTTCCTTAGTTTTCCTTTGGCGTGTTTCTCCCTCTCCCAGCCTTTCTGGATGCTTGTGCACACGGAGCAGGCACAGACGCTGCCGGGTCTCCTGCATTCTCTCTGTAAAAGCCCATCGGAATTGTGCTGAACCTGAGACAATAACTATAACTGCTTAAAACACTGAAATTGTTCAGGGATGAGTTTTTGTTTTTAAACTCAGGCTTGTGAACTCAGGCCGCTTGGATGAGATCCCTGACATTTTCTGTGGGCGTGGGGTTTTTTTGGTGTTTCTAAAGTACTATTAATGGGAGAACATAATGTGACCTTTTTTAAAACATTATTTAAGGGGTGAAACACTAGATATCATATTGATGCGGTGTGCATAATTTCAGAATGGGTGAATTAGCTTTAAGTGATGAGTGTGCAGGAACGGAGCTTGCTTTAAAATACTGTAATGGGAGACAGCAAACATAACAGAGATGTCCCAAAGGTGAACAAGGGTGAGGAGGGAGGAAGAAGAGGGGCTCCTTGGCAGCCTAACTCCACAGTGTTAGTGCTCTTTCCAGCACTAGCTAAGACTGGAAATTTCTTCTCCATGATTACAACAAAGGAAAAAGGTACCCAGCTTTTGGAAGGCACACACACAGGGTTTAAAATTTTCTGCTAAGAAAGCACATACAGGGACAAGCATGGACCTGAATAAACGTTGCCTCCGTGTGGTACCCACCTTTTCATGCCACAACCGATAAAGATGCCAGTCTTTTTTAGATTGTGTGGCTTTGTTCGGTGACCTTCACCAGCGTTGTAGGAACAAGCAGAAACGTGTTGTTCCTGAGGGCAGGCAGGGTAATTTGATGGAGCAAACAGGTCAAGTCCAAGGGCAGTTGTCGCGGGGCATCGCCAAGCAGGCTGGATGCTGCCAGTTAATTCTTTTGTTTAATTTTTTTACTACTATTGTTATTATTCTGCTGTAGGGCGCACGAGACTCTCAAGTTTGTCCTGGTGTTTGGTGCATCTCTTTGTCAATGGGTTTTAAGAAGAGCAGCGTATTTGTTGTATGGGTCTCTCCTTGGGTGCTCTGCCTCCAAACTGCTGTCGGACTGGGCTGAGAGAAACCCTCCATTGGCGAAGGCCAAGCGAAGGCCAGCCGTGCCAATGGCACGCGGTGCTGTGCCGCTGAGGACGTGGTACGGTTGCCTCCAACTCACGTGCCCACGGCGGTGCCAGAGCTGGTTCTCTCTCTCTCTGCAGCACCAGGGACCTGCAGTGGGCAAAGTTATACTGGTGGGGACTCACACTTATACTGGTGCCGTCCCCTTTTCGTTACAACATGGTTGTATTATGGATTGGAAAGTACAGTCAGCAAGAGCACCGTTTTAGCACCGCCACCGTCACTTCACCGGTAGAGCATGACAGTATTCAAGGAGAAATGAGGTCCTCTCCTACCTTGAGTACAGTTTTCTCCCCCTACAAGGTTACAAAGAACAGGAAAAAAAAGCCCTTTGTATGCCAGAGCATTCGCAGTGCTCCGACAGCAGGAGGACACTTGTGTAAAGCAACGGCAGGTAATGATGCATAAAATGAGCATATCAAAGCTGCTGGGATTTTTTATGATTTCTGTTGCTGGGACTACATGAACAAGACATTTTATATTTTTTCTGTGATAAGTCTGACCCCACGCTGGAGGGAGCACACAACACTTAGGTGCCATGTTATACCAGAACTAAAGTATCTAGGCAAGACATGACGAAAAAACATGGATTACCCTTATCTTTTCCTTCACCTCCCTCAGCTTACCTCCACCAGAGATGGAGGTCAGCCCGAATGGGCCAAGAAACCCACAGCCCACAAAACTTGTTGCCCAAAACTGGCATGAATTTCACCCTCAAAACATTATGCTAAAAAAATTAAAAAAGAAGGTTTTCTTCTTTAGGAAAATGCTATGACATGAAGAGAACTGCCCAAACGGGCTGGGCAGCTTTAGCCTTTCACCGTTCTGTTGGTGGCATGAAAGAAATGAGAAAGTTCAGAGGTAGTTGTCACCTCTCTTACCAAGTGTTACTGGCTGGTCTGTCACCCTGCTGCCAGGGTCTCAGGCTCAATCCAGAGGAGCTTGGACATAAGAAATGAGGAACAGCTCAGCTCCCTGCACAACTGCCAAATATCCATTGTGCTCTGGTGGGGAGGGGTCATTGGTTTGGGCTTTTGGAGGTGAGGAAGAATGCAAACGAAGTTGAAGGTATCTATCTCTCAAATATGGAATACTATGTAAAAATAGTTCAGCAATTAAGCACTGTCAGTCCTCACCCCATTCCTCTCAGCCCAAATCTTGCTACTAGGGAGTAAAATGAAGCAAAACTTATAGCACGTCCAACTCCGTTTCCTTCAGTTCAGAAAGACAAGGATGTCTTTAGGATCCATGTCTTCAGGATTCAGTTTTTGATTCAGGAGATCTTGTCCAAAACTTTTATTTTGCATGAAATCAGCATTTGCTATTTATTGTAGGATGTAAGTCCACATGCAGCAGGGCTGTCCCCTTGGCTCCCGCAGGCTGCTGCAGACAGACTGGACAGAATTTGGCAGGATGCTTACGAATGCCTTCAGATCCCTTTCGGTATTAAAACAGTTAAGTTGACTTAATAGCTATTGTTTCCCTAGTAAAACCATTGAAGATGACATTTCACCATAAAGACTTCATTTAAACAGTGGGTATATGAAAATGTTTCAACACAAAAAGAGATTGCTGCCTAGTAAAGAGACCTCAAATTCTTGTGTTAGAGAACAGCTTTGCTCTTTATTTAAAGTGATGTTTTTTAATAGAGTCAGGAACCTCTGTTCATTTTTACTTTATTTTCTAGCATTTTACTAAAGTGTAATAACAAATCCCACAAAGTTTTGATATAAGTCTGGAAAGGAAAAGCGATCAAACCCGGGCAGAGGGACTCCCCAGGCAGGGCACAGCCTGCACCGTCCCGGACCCACGCAGCTCTCCAGCCGTGGAAGATGCCCGGAGAACAAGGTGCAGCCAAGCAAGGGAAGGAAGCGAGCAAGGTGGCCAGGGACCGACGGGAGCCTGCGGCACAGCAGAGATCGGCAGCCCCTGAGAGCAGGGAGAGCGGGGCTTATCCCCAAGGGAGCAAGAAGGGGCTGGGTGGAAGGGACTTTGCAATTTAGGAAGCCACCAAAGCCTGTTCTGAAGCCTAACATGAAGTCAGAACCTGACTTGACAAGACACACATGGGGGGATTTTTCTTGCAAACCTTTAAAACTTTCTCCCTACCCAACTCATGAGCTTTTTCCATTTTACAATTGTTCTAGCGCACGATTTCCTGAAGCCCAACTTTTGCATTCAGAGCCGCCTTGGTGCTTTCCAGGGTATTGGCTTTGAAAAAAGGCCCTGGCAGATCTTCTTTTTGGCTGCCTTCGAATCCTGTCATGGCATAGCTTCAATCAAGAGTCTTTCCATTTTTCCGTCCATGGGGAGGAACATTATCAGCACAAGCGATTATTTGTAAGAAACACTACACTCACTTGTAAGTGACTTGGTATCAGGTAGATGGGAAAATGAAAAGTGTACCGTATCGAGGTATCAATAATTAATAGCAGCTTAACAAGAGACTTCCTCCCTCCTTTGGGATTGAGATTTCTTTAGTTTGTAGTTTTGAGGTTTGACCATCACATTTCTATGGCCACTCGGCATTACAGAATGAGCAATTGCTGTCAGAAACACTCCCGGCATGCTGACCGCAGTATCTAGGGGGGAGGTACTCAGTGGCTGCTAACCAGAACAAGAGCTTTCGGGAAGGTTTCGAAGGAGGAACACTAAACCTTCCGCTTGACAAATCAGCGTGTCACAATAGGCCACAGAGATGCTTTGAAATAAGCTATGACAAGATAAAACCTAAAGATGCATCAAACAATCTTCTTTCCGCTTTGCAAATACAAAGCCCCAGTGCAAAACATTTTTAAAAAAAGCAGATACAAATCCACCCTGTGCTCCTCCCTCCTCATCTTCAACTGCTTGTGGTTCAAGCAGAAAAACCCATACTTCTGTCAAACTCTGGCAGCTTTCTGGCATGACATTGCAAAGTACCCTGGTACGTCACAGGGACTAAAGGGATTGACTCATCTTTGCATGCAGTCTGTGACTTTCAGAGATATAAACAACTTGCATTTTATTTGAATATACTTCTCCAGGTCAGAGGAGCACCAAGCAGCCACTCCTGAAGCTGTCATCAGTAGCTTGTTATTTTCTAGAAATTCCGTTTATTCAGTCTGTCTGTAATACCTGAAAAAAACCCCAAACAATTCCTCCAAGACAGATGCACCTTTTAGACATTTACCCACCACAGAGTCTTGTGGATGCTTAAGCAATACATTCCTCTGGCAAAGAGCTGACCAGAAGACATTTGGAGCCTCCCCAATCTGGTTTCAAGCTTGTCAGCACAGGTCTAAACCAAAACAACTAACCTGACACAGGTTGACCTTGCTTCGATTTGGACTTGGACAACACTATCAGCCTAAATTTTTTAAGGATTTTAACACACATTGGGATGGTCAGGTCCCACTCGATGCAAGTACCACGTTGACCAGGCAGTATCTGCAGGGGGTTATTGGTATTTATAGGCAATGGTAATGTTGTTCACGACTGACGACTGCTATTGGATTTTCAGGCACTATTATTATCAGTCTTGTTACCTACTGAAAACCTGCTGTGCATTCAGCCATCAGCTTTCTGTTGGCACCCCCAGCCTCTTTGACCCTATGCTGTTCTGCAGCTGTGGTTTTGGCAGTGAACTGGACCTTTGGGGCTTATATCTGCCAAAACTCAGCTATGCTCGATTGATTATTTGTCTTGGAAGGAGTTGCCATCCAGATGATTAGCATGGACCATTTTCTAACCACTGTCCAGAGGCAAAACTAGCTGAAACCCCACTGTGCCAAAGCCACAACTGCTTTTTTTTGGATGCTTTCTGCGTTGCCTTTCCTCCACTGACTGGGTGGATGATTGGGGAAATGCAAACCAGGGCTCTCCGGGGTGTATTTCCTGATGGCTGAGCTAACCAAGTCGTGCTTGTTGCGGTGACGTTTTTCATCCCCTTCAGCAGCATGCTGCACTCCAACCTTTGCACCCCAAACACCCTCTGTAAGAGCATCCTGAGCACCCACCTACACGCCCACAGCCTTTGCTTCTGCTGAAAGAACAAACTTGACCTGACAGGGCTGTAGTAACCTTGCCAAGTGAGCGTAGACTTGAACTTTAAACCAAGAGCCCTTCACTCTAGTTCTCACCCTGTTTGTTGGGTTTTTACCCTGCCAGCTCGCTCCCCAGCGACACAGTGCACAACCTGCCTTCGGCATCCAGTACGTGCCCGCAGCGTTGCTAGCACCTGCATTGCCTGGCTGAGGGCTTACCCTGTCCTCTATTGCCTGAGCACCAAGATGCTTCAAGAGGTTTGAGCTGAGCTCAGGATAAGACATCCAGGATTCTCCCCAAAGTGCCTGAATGAGGAAAAACAATACAACCTCTGCTTCTGATGAGAGCCACTCAACCATCTAAGCAGTGATTTCAGAGAAATAGCTGAAAATCAGGGAAGAACTAGCCAAACTGCACAAATTCTGCTTCTGCATCTTTCTTTCTGACCACCTGATGAGTTTTTAATGCACAAACCAAACTGGAGAATGAACACGTTCCCATTTGTTATTTGGGTTTGAGACATCAAATAAAACCACAACAGCGCAACACTGTCAAAGCCACGCTTGCAACGAAAACCAAGTTGACTGAATGGCACGTGGTTACCGTTCTGCAGTCTTTATGGTACTATTTATACAGACATCCTTTCAGCTAAAAAAATGCAGCAACAAAAAGACAGGTGAAAATGTTGTTTGCATAAACGAAACAAGCAGCAAAAGAACCAAGGGATTTTTAGCACAAGAACAATATTGAGGTGACAGATTCATTCCTACCAAAGTTAACCCATAGTTTCAGGGAGGTCTGCCCATTTTATAGTTTACCAGGACAACGATCACATCCACAAACTGCATGTGAGAGAGAAAGAGAGAGGGATGGAGCAGGCAAAGGACGTACCACCCCTTCATGATGCACAGGCCCATGCTGATAAATAAACCCAGCAGTGACCACATCTCTGCCTGCCCGGTTACTGCCACATTCTCTTAAATTCCTTCCAGTGATGATTTTTCAGGGCTGAGACACATTTCATCCAGTTTTCCCACTTCTCTTTACCCAAAGGCCACCACTTGCCTACACTTTCTAGCCAGCATCTTCAGTACATTTTGGTCACAGACAGGATTTCCCCTATATCATGGGCAGGGAAATTGCAGGGAGAAAAGACCCAAGCAGATAGAGAGCGGCGGGGCTGGAGACCAGCTGAATTAGGTTGCACCTGTATGTCCTAAACACAATTCCTCCCTTTTCTGTAGTTGTCCTTTGCATTCCTTCCTCACTGCCTGCCCTTGGAGATAACACCGGTTTCCTTGGCTTACCACAGCCTCCTTACCAGCCCCGACCACGCTCCCTTTCCCGGGGTTTCCTCATCAGCAGGTCCTACAGCATCGCTGCCGTGGCCCTGGCCCCTTCTGCTGGAAGTGGGAAGAGGGGGACACCCAAAGCTTGCTCTGAGCCAGGGCCATTACTCCTGAGCAGCGAGGAGGAAGATGAGGAATGCTGGCTTCCTGCTGTAGAGTATGTAAGCACCAGCCTCATTTCCACATTGCAGGGATATAATAATCCCCTTTTCCTGGGGACATGGGCTGGACTCCAGCAGTAACTTTGCTTTTGGCCTCCTAAGGTGAATTAGGGATCTCTAGTAATAAAAATAAATACCATCCAACCTTGGTAGCGCTTGGTAGCTTTCACTAAAGAGTGCCCCAGTAGAGCAGCTGCAGATTAAGCTCACTTTCTATCTGGTCCCAGAGGACCCTCTGCAAACAGCATCGACTTTTACTGCTCTCAACGACCAGTCTACGCTCCCAGATCAACACTGGCCTTGTTTCAAGGTCTTCCCCCCAAAACATTTTAGTACTTGTTTGTATTGCTCCAGGATGTCCACACACACGTCATTGACCAGACCCCTCGTGTAACCGCCAGCTTTAACCATGGATGGGATTGCTTTGGCCACACAGAGGCAGATCAAGATCTTCCAAATCTGTAACGGCAGTAGCTGCTATCACCCGAATCTGTAAAAACCCAGATTCAGTCAAGGAAGAGGTAAAAACAAAGTAAAACTTCTTCCCTGAAGTAAAATTCACTAGTTTTTAAGAATACCTGTTTATCTCCATTACCACCCTGCACTTGTTCACTTCAGCCTTTTGATCTGACCACCTCTGTCAGTCACCCGGACAAATCCTCTACCACTAGAGAATCTTTCTCCTTCACTTGGCCATTCACATCCCAGGGTTTATATATCTACGAATGAATGACAGAAACTTAATTAAAAGATTTTTTTATTAAAAATCAACGTATTTATACATTTGTACATTCCACATACTGCTGTATATGTTCACCAACATAACCATTAAGTCAGAAAGCATTAACAGTACAGATTTCCATCTGAACAAATTCACTGCAGGGGAACTTCAGTTTTGTAATCAATCAGACATTACAGAATGCCATTAACTTCTTTTCTTCTTTTCCCTTTAAAAGTAGCAGCACGTTTAATTATCAGTGTTCACAAGGCATAAGCCCCAAAGTGTTGTACAGCAAGAGAAAAAATTAATTAGTAAATATAGGTAATAGGAGGAGAGCTCACAATGAAAATGTATTAGTTGCTGCCTATTATAAACAGCAGGGTGTTAATAAAACACTTGGAGCTATGCTGAATAGAGACTGCAGCAAATTGGGAAGAATCATAAAATAAAAAGTTACTTCTTGATGCAACTGTATAAAATAAAATAGTTTTTAATGACATTCAGGATAGGAGTCCTGCAAAGAACAAATGTTGTTGCAAAGATTCAGCAGAGTCGGATAATGCTTGTGTGTTCAAACATGTAATAATGCTTGTGTGTTCAAACATGTAATAAAGGTCTCAGAAAACATACGCACACTCCACCCCTACCACCGCCTTTCGACAGTTGGCATTATTAGGGTTTCATGTGGTTGATGTAATAAAGTGACATTTTATTGAAGACAGATGTGCTCAGGAGTCCACTCAGAGCTCTCAAGATTTACACCCATGTCAATTAAGTGCTAGAAGAGCGACATTAACCAGGTCACAAAGGATGGAAAGTTTTTGGAGATTGGGAGCAGGGGGAGCAAAGAGAGAAGTTCTCATGGTAACCTGGACCCCCAGGCTCACCTCAGCCACCGCAGCACGGGCTGCCTGGAGAAGTCAGTTCTGTGGTACACTGTGTAACAAAACCCAATTGCTTATTTTCTCCAGATTTTGAGATCAGTATTCTTGTAATATTGTTAACTGTGATAACTTAACCCTTTAAATCATAGAAATTAAGATCTAACTGAATTCTTTCTCATAAATGTACAGCCATTAATCTTATTTTGAGCAGAGTGACAGATTCCGGGCAATTTTTTCTCATTAGTGTTTTTCCTCTCTTTTTGGCTTAGGGGAAAAACTGCATATGATGACACATCACAGGTAATTTTTATGTGAGGACGTGTGGAGATACGAGCAGAAAAGGGTTTAACGTGTATTTTTTGTATATATCACTGACCGTTAACAGATGATGGCTAAAAAAAGTCAGAGCTGCAATATTTCTGTAATTAGAAGCTACATGTTAAGTAAACATGCCCCAATATCTGCAAAAGCATCTGTGTGAGAGTAATCTCATTTATTATATCCTGGATCACAGGCACACTGTGGTATCAAAAAAATATCTGCATTACTGTCCTGGTTTTCACCCATACAAAGTTGGAGGAGATTCACTAGGGGGAAAAAAAGTGAGAGATGAATGCAAACACAAATAATTTAGCAAGAGCTAAATTAAGAAGAAATATTCTGCCAGAATCTCCTCTATCCAAGGGCAGGTCTAAGACACTACATTCCCTAATGGAGAGAAAAAGATTGCATCAAGCTTAAACTCCCAGAATCCATTTAATTTCCAAACTAGGAGGACGGTCAAAGAAATACTCCTCTTTCCTGACTCTCCTCCTTCGCGTATCCAGCCAGCAATTAATAACCAGATTACCACTCATTCCCTCCTTGCTGCTGCAGCCATACCAGGAGAACTTACCGCAGTAAGAACTTCCCACAGTAGCAATGCTATCCCAGGACTTCAGGTACATAAACCAAGAATGAGCAAACACAGTGCCAAAATAAAAGGAGGAATGAACTCAGGTTCTCCAAGGTGAAGCTCTCTTACCTAAGGGGTGTAGTTGTCCTACCTAAGGAAATTTGAAGGCAGACCTTTCATAAATTTCCTGGTGACCAAGTACAGAATACCACGCACCACTCTGATGCGGGCTGTCATCTCCTCTGCTCGAGTATTACCTTGGTCACTCAAGTGCTGCCTGCACAAGGGAAGAGCATCCTCCACCTGCCACCTCCCTGCTGAGCTCTTGCTCTACCTCAGCCTCACATTGTTTGTTTTGCTTTTTCTTTTTGTTATCACGGGACTTCCCTATTAATTTATCCAAGTGAGTTCTAGTATAAAATTTAACAAAGAAACAGGTAACAATGTACAAATCAAATGTCACTATTTTTCCAGTCCACATTTCTGAGGTCTAAAAGAATTAGATCCCCCAATTTAAATATTTAATCACTCTTTTGGTCATCCATGACTGCAAAAATGTCACCTTGCATTATTCCAATTTCTGTATTTGTTCTGTATGTACCATTGTTGCTACTGCTGCATTTTAGCTGAAGTACGAATCTGAAAAAATATCGAATATTAATAAAGAATTGTTTAACCTTTTGCAGACATCCCTTTTCATGCAATAATAATTAAGAACTTTCTTGTGGTCTGGAATGATATGATCTCTATTTCATTGCAACACTAGTCGACAAGACCAAGTTCATCACTCCCTAGTGGCTAGAATTAGTCTTAATTGTGGAGAGTGGTCTTTGTTTTAGTACCTCCTCATTAGACAGGAACAAAGAGCATACTGAGGATGCCTGCAGCAAAAGAAAGTATTTCTTACGAATTGCATGCTACTGTACACAAAAGGCTTATCAGATTTTTGTAAAAATCACTTCTCTATCAGCAAGTATTTTGAGGACAGGGGACTACAAATTTGTCTATGTTGTCATTGCCAGTTGTATACACAATGTTTGAAAACATGAATACAAGATACAGAAGAATCTGCTCATACCAGTGCCACTGGAGAATCACTCATGCCAGAATTAAGTCAGAAATACCCACATTTGTCCTTTTTGAAGGTGCCTTTCACTAATCATGGCTTACAGGTCTTTGTAGAAAGCGCTACAAAATTCC